CTTACACTTAGTTGCCTTACTTACACTTCCAATTAGTTGCAGTCAAACTTTGCACATCCATATTATGTTGACAAATTCTGATATTCAAAATGGCTGACTTGTTTTTTTGTTTGTTTACACGACTGGGATGGTGTCATGATGAATAGCTAGTTTTACCATGGACAAGATTATATATAGCTATAATAATTTTTATTTGGTTTACACAGGATTATTTGCAAAGAAGAGATGTCCTAAAGGGAAACACTGTAACTTTCTTCATGTATTCCAAAATCCTGGTGGTGAATTTACAGCAGCTGACAGGGACTTACTTCATTATCATCAATATGATAGACATGGTGACATAGAGGGAAATTTGCATGAACACCATGCAAGAAGTAGTGAAAGAGACTGGTATTCAAGTGAGAGCAGAGTGCAGAAAACATATAGAAGTAGGAACATGTATAAAGAAAGTAGTCCAAGCAACGGTAGACACAGGAGAATTAGTAGGACTAGAGATCACAAATACAATGAAAGTAGTCATAGAGGTAGAGCTAGGAGTCATAGCAGAGATAGGAGTCATAGCAGAGGTAGAGACAGCAGTTATAGCAGAGGTAGAGACAGGAGTCATAGAGACAGGAGTGACAGAAGCAGGAGTCATAGCAGAGATAGGAGTCATAGCAGAGGTAAAGACAGGAGGCATAGCAGAGGTAGAGAAAGGGGTCATAGAGACAGGATTGACAAAGGCAGGAGTAATAGCAGAGGTAGAGATAGGAGTTGTAGCAGAGACAGGAGTGACAGAGGCAGGGGTCATAGCAGAGATGGGAGTGACAGAGGCAGGAGTCATAGCAGAGGTAGAGACAGACGTCATAGCAGAGGTAGAGACAGGAGTCATAGCAAAGGTGGCGACAGGAACCATAGCAAAGGTAGAGGAAGGAGTCATAGCAAAGGTAGAGGCAGGAGTCATAGCAGAGATAAAGACAGAAGTCCTAGCAGAGACAGGAGTCATAGCAGAGGCAGGGACAGGAGCCATAGCAAAGGTAGAGGCAGGAGTCATAGCAGAGATAGAGGCAGTAAGCATAGCAGAGGTAGAGACAGAAGTCCTAGCAGAGACAGGAGTCATAGCAGAGGCAGAGACAGGAACCATAGCAGAGAACGGAGTAAAGACAGGAGTCACAGTAAAAGTAGAGATAGGAACAAAAGTAGTGACAGGGATCATTACAAAAGTAGACACAGAAGTCGTAGCAGAAATAGAGCAGACAGAAGTCATAGCAGAGGTAGAGACAGGAGTCATTGTAAAGGTAGAGACAGCAGTACAGACAGAAGTCACAACACAAGAGTCTGGAGTCCCAGCAACAGTAGTGGAGATGTGAATTGTAGTAGAGTTGAACATGAAAGAAAGGAAAGAGACATAAATTATAAAGCTGTTGGTGATGAACGCCAAAGTCAGAATTTAGATGAGACCATGTGCACCTTTGAGAATGAAGGTAACAGAGATGGGGAAGTGAAGAGTAACATAAGTAAAGATAATAGCATAAAAAAACATAAAAAGAAACACAAACAACATAAACATAGGCATGCAAAGAAAAGGAAAATGGAAGGCAAAGAATATGATGCAGGAGAATCTAATTAGATCAAATCAAAAAAATAGTATTGGTAGGTATCTAGCATTATTTCAATATTAGCCCATAATGTGTTTAACTGGTATCAAATTAAATAACATCATTTATAGTGTGTTCAGTTTACTACATCGCCTACTAGAAAGTCCATGGAAATAATAAATTCCATTTATTACTCGTTGGCTTAACTACAGATTACAGCCCCAATCGAAAACTATAAGGGAATATATCCTGTTCACAAAGAACACCTTAGGGTAGCATTCCCTATAGAAAAAAGGCCTCTCCTAAGGGGCCACCCCCCGTAAGAGGCCTGATCCGACATTCTCTTTCGTTTTCGCTTACAACGGCAGCTATATTGTTATGCTCCGCTATTACAAGCATGACGAGAGACAGGTTACAGTTACTGAATGAGAATTATCTAGATTTTCTAGTGTGGTGACGACTCATTACGGTAAAGGCTTTCCATTATTAGAGGCCCCGTTTTTACCTGTTTTTTAGTTGAATTGCTGGCTCAGTTTACTTTCACTGGATTCCGATTTTTGGCGCGGTTAATTTACTCTTTTTTTTTCCCGATCTCACTTTCGTCATTTTTGCAGACGCGAAGATGCCTAAGTCACAAAAAAAGGAGAAGAATGTCCCGCCTGAGACGAGACCTAAGACGTGCTTTTCCTGCTTCAAGCGAATGCCCGATTGGGACCCTCATATGTGTTGCCACAATTGCCTTAATTGTGTCAGGGACTCCGGGGTCTGCCGAGAGGGGATTTGCATTTTATCGAACCCTGTAATGTGGCTCAATTGTGAAGCGGGCTGAAAGGCTAAAGACGAGCGATCTAAAGCTGGTAGAGGTCGTGGAAAGAAGGGAAAATCCCCTAGTACCGCTAGCGCTAGTATGTCTTGATTCTATGCATGAGAAATTTTTCCCTGTGCTCGGTAGTCACCACGAGGCTCGCTTTTGCGGGGAGATCGGAATTTCCAGTCACCACAGCAAATGACGTTGATATACAGTGTGTTCCCCCTCGGGCGCTGACATCGGCACCGAGTTCTGTGGTGGAATCGGAACATCTCTAGACTGAAACGGTTCAACCCACCGGGACTTTACCGTTACCGACACAGCCTTAGTGCATTGCGCAATCACAGGACAGGCCCAGTTGCCTCCATGTACCGGTACTAGTCAAGGTGGCAAACGACTCTCCCAGGGTGAAGAGATGGCTTGGACAGTCTGGATGCGTAGTCTGGCTGCAAAAGTCAACTCCCTTCTGCAGTTTCAGGGTAGGACGCAGGAAGACCTGGGGGCCTGAGATAATGCCTGTATCTACACCACCCAGGCTAGGGTCAGGTGTGTCCTTTTCTCCCAGTGATCTCTCCTTTAGAGGGTCAGTAGGGGGACAATTCACATCAATGAGAAGGGGAGCGTCCACTTCTTTCGTATCCCCCCCCCCCATGCTTGGGCTGACCAGGCATTGTTTCCTTCGTCTTTCCAAGCCGCGTAGTGTCCCCTCTTATGACTGTGAGGGGAGAGGACTTCAATGTTGATACCCCTGTACAGGGTGGTATGCAACACTCTTATGGGGTCAGCAATCACTTCCCCGACAGGAGGGGGCGCGAGCGCTTTGTTGTTTCTCGTCCCCACTTTAACGGGGCAGTCACAGGATACCCATCCAGCTGTTCTTTACTAATATGCAGTTAAGGTCACAGCTTGTGAACCGTGCAGTGATGGCCGCGAGACTCTTGTTTCGCACTGGGCAGGTGGTACCCTCCCCCCGGATGGGAGAGTCTCCTTTGACTAAATTTTCATCGTTGCTCTCCTCTCCCACTGCCGGCGTGGAGACCATGCCGGTCGGCCAACTTCCCTGGGTGACCCAGGCTATGGAGAGGGCTCAGAGGGCGATGAGGGGGGATTGGTACTCTTCGGGGGAAAAGGACAAACAGCTTGGAGCGGTCATGTCCAATGCCTTCCGTTGGGCGAATCTATACCATAATGGGGCTAACCGTCGATGGGTCCCGGAGTGGGAAACTCACGCGGTACCACATCCTTCCCAACGGGTTCCCCGTCCTGAACCTGGTACGTATACTTTTGTTAAGGTGGGTAGTGTGGATCTGGAAGGTCACGTTGCGGGTCATTTGACCGGCACCAGAGCCTACTAGTGCATAGGGCTTTACGGACCCATCAATTTTATAGTATGGGTTTCTCTAGCATTAGAGCGTCAGCTCACCTTGACTGTCTGAGTGCTCAGCAACAAACCTCGATCCTCAGGCAGATGAGCCAGTTCCTGGCAGCACAGAGAGTGTGATATGCTATGTGTGATATCCTGCAAGTTCATACTTCCCTCTTGGCAGGAGCGGTTTCGGCTGAGCGTGATCCAGTTCTGGGTCTGTGCGCCTATCCTACTCCAGCGGGAGATCATTTGATCGCCTGCGGAGAAGGCCTTAGGGGTGTGACCAGTTAGTGGATGCGATGAACGGTTTGGCGGTTGTGGAAGATCAGCGTATTTAATTGAAGCAATCGTCTCTGTTGTCTAAGGTAGCTAATCCTTTTGATCAACAGATCAAACCAAAATCGCAAGGCAGCCCAGGTAGTAAGTCCGCCGCTCGCAGCCTCAATCGGCGAGGATCAAAGCGCTCATGGTGTCCTTCGAAGGGGCAGAAGAAGTCTAGTAGTGGGAAGCGTCAACAAAAGCCCAAGAAACGTGGTGTTGGTGGTGGGCATTTTGACACTTTGGGGGACAGGTTGGGTGGGGGTGGGGGTATCTTTGAAGGTTTCGCTGGCTGCCTGAACATGGATGGTGGTACACATCCAGCTCTCCTTCCCCGGGGTCCCTGGGATCAGTCTCCCCCTCTTCGTCCTTTCATTCTAGAGGATGGAGTTTGGGAAGCACTAGCTGCCTTACCAGCACATACCAGCTTGGCGCCAGAGGGTTACCGATCCCTGGACGTTTGAAGTAGTGTCGCGTGTGTATCAGATTCCTCTTAGGCCTCCTTCTCACCCTCCCTCAGGTCTTTTGCTGAGGGACAGGGTCAAGGCGAAGACGATCCGTGCTAAGAGTACTAAGACAGGTGACCCAGCTGCTACACTGGTCGTCAATTTATCTGAACCCATACCTTGACGACTGGTTAATACACAACCTACACGAGTTGGGTATGCAGTTCGACACGGAGTAAGGGCGTGTTCGCCCCTCTTAGGAGCAATGCCGCTCTCTTGTAGAGCTCACCAGCCAACTCTGGTCGACAGGATCGGCGTCAATACGCGAACTGATGCGGCTTATTGGCAAAATGACGCCCTCTCGAGATGTATTCAGTTCCAGAACACTGAGTGGCATATCCCCAATAGGTGGCGGACTGGCTTTTTCGTCTCTGGGACGCCCCCCGGATAGATTAGTTTGCCAATCATCAGAACGCCAAGCTCCCAACGTATATGTGAGAAGAGCGCATTCGCCACGGATGCTCTATTCTCTTGGAGCCACATAGACACTTATGCATTACCACCCTTCCATCTGATGCACCAAGTATTGGAGAAATTACGACTCGAGCCCACCTGTATTCTGACTTTGGTGGTGCCCAATTGGCCAGTAAAGATATGGTTCCCATTGTTGCTGGAACTTCTAGTGGAGTTGCCCGTGGAGCTGCTGGATCTTCCGTATCCGGACGGCACACTACCAATGAGCCCAGCGCTATTCTATCTTCATGTGTGGAGGCTATCGATAAACTCGTGCAAGCACAATGCTTTTCTGCAGAGTTGTCCTCGCTTGATCATCTCAGTCCCTCTCTTAGCAAGGTAGCCGATTTTTCCTTATTTGTTTAATCAAGGGGAATCCATATCGACAATTCTTGGATATCGGTCAGTTTTATTCCCAGTTTTATCGGAATCTGCTGGACTGAAACTGGCTTTCGTGTTCTATTATGATTCAACTGTTTAAGTCTTTCGGCTTGAAGAGGCCACATGCCAAGGGGCTAACGAATCCTCCTGACTGGGACTTGTCATTAGTTTTGTCGCCGTTACGACAGACATGAAGTATGTATGTACAGTTTTTGTTTTGGCCCTGGCGTCAGGTAGGCGGCGCTCAGAGATAGGGGCACTGTCCTTTAGTGACGCAAGTTGTTTTGAAGACTCAACTGGGCTTTCTTGCCAAGAATCAAATCCCAGGGCACGACCCTGAGCCAATCGTCAGCCCGAGCCTCACTAACATTGTGGGCAGGGAGGACCGTCAGGAACGGAATCTATGCCTGGTTCGAGCTCTGAGCTGGTACTGCGATCGCTCCAAGGTGTCTAGGGGCAGTGAGAAGCAAACAGAGCCACCCTGCTTCGAATATCACCATGAGGCACCCGGTCCCTGAAGAGTCGCCTAAGTGGTTTTATCCTGGGACTAGACTCCCTGGTGAGTAGCTTTAGATTTCTCAGTTAGTTTTTTTGGCCTTCCATTTTAGTGTACATTTCAGCCATTTCAACTTCCCCAACTCCGGTAAGCGTGTTACTCTGCCTTTGAGTAATAAATGGAATTTATTATTTCCACAGACTTTCTGATGTAGTAAACTATTAGGGTTGTACAAACTCGTTTATTTAGCTAATCATACCTACCAGAAAGTTTGTGGAACGTGCCCACCTCTCCACAAGCTTCCGGCGCCTCGTTGTGTCAGCGGGAACGTTTGTGAGAATGTCGGATCAGGCCTCTTACATGTGACCACCCGCACGCTCCGATTGGAGCTGTAATCTGTAGTTAAGCTTACGAGTAATAAATGGAATTCATTATTTCCACGGACTTTCTGGTAGGTATGATTACGTAAAAAAACACGTTTGTACAACCCTGATAACTGGTATCCAATTGAATAACATCCCTTCTAATTTAGTGTTCAAATGTTATTCAATTGAAAAATGTCCCTTCTAATGTATTCAACTGGTATCCAATTGAATAGCATTCCTTCTAATGTATTCAACCATTATCCAATTGAAAAACGTCCCTCCTAATGTATTCACCTGGTATTCAATTGAAAAACGTCCCTTCTAATTTGTTCAACTGGTATCCAATTGATTAACTCTCTTCT